ATATTATCTCAATGGGATAAAGTAAAAGAAAAGATTAAATTTCTTTCCTCAGAAAAAGAAATCCTACAACACATACAACAGTTCAGTGGTGCATGGCTAGGAGGGCCTCAAGGGGGCAAGATAGGGGAGATTAAATGGAGCAAGGACAGGGGAGTAACACTGGCTGGACGAAAGAAAGAAGTCCTGAAGGATTACCGTTTAAAGTTTCATGAATGGACAAATGTAGACCCTGCTGTACCCCTTCGCCCCCTTTAAGAATTCCCAGACCCCTTCCCTCCCTCCTCCTTAAGCCTGGTTCCGTTGAGTTGGTTTGGACTTGAGCAGGAAGAAATGGCTTGAAAGTTCTGTTGGAGAGAGCAATTTTTGATACTGTAGAACTGCAGAATTTGCAGAACATTTCCTACAAAAGATATAGGAGGTAGCACTGCTAGCAACATCACGAGCATCTGGCGGCCAGTTTCTGGCTGAAGAGGCAGTTCTTCCTAATCTCCCCACTTCCTGTTTCCTTGATCAAGCATCATTTGTATGAGGGACGCTGGACCCATTTTCCAGCAGGTGCAGCTCCCCACCAATAGACTGGAGCTAGTAGCTGGGCTGTTAGTGGTGGATGCTCATAGCAACATCACTAACAGTCTCAGCAACTGTTTTCTTTAAAAAAAAAAAAAAAAAGAAAAAAAAAAAAAAAGAAGGCTCAGTAGGCTTGAGCTGAGGATTGTATGGAAGAGGTTGAGGGTTCAACAATGGATCACATTGAACTAATTGATATACAAAATGTTGATGTCCATCCTCCTTGTCCATAGTCTCGGGTATCTTAGCTTAACAGAAAGGCTCCAGGTNAAAAAAAAAAAAGAAAAAAAAAAAAAAAGAAGGCTCAGTAGGCTTGAGCTGAGGATTGTATGGAAGAGGTTGAGGGTTCAACAATGGATCGCAACATTGAACAAGACACATGCAGAGTGTTTGGTTGTCTATCCTCTTATTAGTACGTGGTCATGTGTATCTTTTTTTTTTTTTTTGGGGTGAAAGCCCCTGCGTAAGCCCTCCATCCCGGCGGTGGTAAGAGAACTGCCCGAATTGAGGGCTTATCTATTGGGCTGCTCCATCTATTGGTGGGAAGCGGCACCTGCTGGAAACCGGGTCCAGCGTCCCATTAAAATTTACATGGATCACGGGGATTGTTAGCTGTTGTTTCTGTGGCTGCGGCCCTATCTGTTGACTACCCGGGGCTTTGATTGTCCCATGGAGCTGCCAGTAAAACCCCAACCCGTCTAAGAGCCCTTTTACTGTCTGACCTCAGCCCTGTTCAGTGTCTCCCTGTCCGGACCTTGGCACCCTTTAAGCCATAAACCCTCATTAAACCCTTATGTGGCGTTCAGAGCATAAAGATCTACCCTGGGTGGAACGTGTTACAGAGCAATGCAAAGAATCTGTAACCTTACCTACTACCTTTCTGACCCCACAGCTGCGTTTATTAGTCCCATCTGCAACGAGCAACCCCTTGGTCATGTAGTTCTGAGTTGTATGGTCAACAGGGGTCCCCCCAGCCCCTGTACTGGTGGGGGGCCGTGCTCATCACAGTTACTGCTCGGGTCCGGTGCAGGGCTGCCCTAGTGTCCTTGATGAGATACTGAGAAGCCGTTGTAACGTTGTTGATGTTGGTTGTTGTCGCTGAAGGATGCTGATGTACTTACGATGTGAGTCGGCTGGCCACCTGGTGGGGGAGGTCTGGGATCGGGAAAGTGTGACGGAACGGGCTCCAGGTATTAGCTATGGGTTCAGTTGTGTGGCTGGTGTAGCGAACTACCTTCTTCCCCCGAACATAACGCATAATATGTGTTGTATTCGAGTTTTCAAATTTGAAACAAAATCGAATAGAAAGCATACGCGTTGTATTCGAAATTTAGGGCTATTCGAATAGAACGCATATGTGTTGCATTCGAATAGAACACACCCTACGCATTGTATTCGTTTACTACACATATGTGTTATGTTCAGGGGAAGAAGGTAGCAGTTACCTACGTACAGGGTTGTCGAGCTACGGGAACAGGCTCCACGTACTAGGCTATCGATTACGATATCAAGTCTGCTGTGCTGGATGGGAGTCCTCGGAACCCCCTCATGAGGGCCTATAGTAGCATGCTCATACCTAGCTCCGCGACGGGCTTGTACAACTCTGCTTCAACCGGGGCTGAGCAGGGGAGCAGGAGTCCCCCCTACGTAGGCCGGGTGCCTGCGACCGCTGTCTGGTCAAGTCACCCCAGCAAGATGGTGATGGACAATGGCCCCGGGCGGTTAAAACTAGGGTAGGATAGGGTGGGTAGTGTTGCGCCAGGGAAATCAACGAGAGGAAGTGTGGGTGGGGTCTTCCAAGGGGGTCATCCAAATAACTGAATGGCCGATTACCAAGGGTAACTTTGACCATTGTTTACCGTGGCTAAAGTCCCAGGGTGAAGTCCCACTTGGTCGTATCCTTCATTTCTGACTGTCCACCTTACCTTCACAATCTACGGTCATGAATCGAGAATTCGGGAATCGGGATAAGTGGGACTTGATCCCGGGGCCCGACTTTTCTGCAAAGGACGGCCTCACAGGAATGATTCAGAATCAATCATATAATCATTGTGATGCCAATTATTTACAAAACAGTTGCTGGAAAACACACAATGCATGCAAAATCTGTACTATACCCTCCTAAGGGAGTGACAAATTTGAGAACTTTTTTTTTTTTTTTTTTTTTTTTTTTTTTTTTTTTTTTTAACTATTACGGCAATCATCAGCAACTTTGCCAGCAAGATCCAATCAGCAGTCAAAGAGGAAGAAGATACGACGAAGCTGCTACGGTGGAGCCATGCCTTCGAATCCTCCCATTGTGCCCCGAGTAAAACGTACGGTCATTATGCCTGGAGTCCTGATAGAGCATGCCGCCGCTCTCGAGTTGGATAGGACTTTCTCTTATTTCCTCTAAGAAAGCAAAGGTGCCTAATATATACAATTACAAGGCAGTCGCAGGAAGGGGGAAAAAAAAAAGGACTTCCACTAAATAATACCCAAATCGCATTTGGAGCCCCCTAAGTTAAATAAGGTATCGAAGGCCGGAGGCGCAAGAGAGAGCACGCTTTCCTTTGTTTGGGCAAGATCCGATCAGCAGTAGGAGAGGAAGATGATACAAGCTGCGACAGTGGAGCCATCCCTCATAAAGCATTGGCTTGGCTTTGGGGCCTCCTAACATTGTACTCGTCCAAATAAAACGTACGGTCATTATCCCTGTATTTGGAGCAACTTACAGTCTAGATACAGCAATAAGGACTGTACATTCTATTCCGGGGAGGAGGGTCGTCCAGTAAGCACAGCAGACTCTGGAGAGCTTCTCCTCGAGCAGCAAAGTGTCTGTATAAAAATGGCCAACTCTAAAATTGTTCTCCTCCTCTCCCCCCCCCCCCCCCCCCCCCCCCCCCCCCCCCCCCCCCACTCCCCTCCTTCCCCCCCTTTCCTTCACCGCCCTTCCCCCTCCTTCCCCCCCTCTTCCCCTTCTCTTAAATTGGCTGCACCCATCGTAATGTTGTTCGATTAAAAGTTTATAAGAATTTAAAAAGAATAGGAAAGAAACTTTGTGTGGTACTCCCCGCTTTGGCCTTGGCCTTGGCCTTGTGCAATATAGCGCCTAGGAGAAGTTGGCAAGTACTGGGGGCATTTTGCAAAGCTGGACGGTACCCGGTAGGGGTATATTGCGAAGATGCGGGTCCAACCGACGCCAGGGGTATTTGACAAAATATTTTTTTTGACAGAGGGGCATTCCGCTCTACCCACATCTTTTAGGGGCATTTTGGCATATATCTCAACTTATGCGGTTATTTCGCAAATTATCCCTAAAAAAAAAAAAAAGGAGAGGAGAGATATATAATATATTAGCATGGCCCCTGATGTGCACAGATGACACGCGCAAATCAAAAATTATCTACAAATGATAAAAAATTAAAAATAAGGACTGTAGTATGATCATGCTCAAATCACAATGCAAAAGTCATTGCAAAAATAAAACAATGCAAAAGTCAACTTTGAAACAATGGCCTCGCTCTGCTACTCACCAAATGTGGAAAATGATACACCACCATGTTTTTTGTCTTTTGTGCACGCGGTGAGTAGTAGAGAGAGGCCCAATGCAAGTGTTCAAACTGGATCAGAAGTGGAAAATGACAAAGGAGAGGAATGGATGACGTTGGCTTGATTTGCTGATTCAGAAGATTTCCAAGTTTGAAAGTGATTGCTATTTTGCCCGAGCGACCGAGTTTGTTTGTGTGTGTGTGTGTGTGTGTGTGTGTGTGTGTGTGTGTGTGTGTGTGTGTGTGTGTGTGTGTGTGTGTGTGTTTTAAGTTAGCTATATTAGTGTATTCTTCTCTCATGTATCTCATCTTCTTGCCAGTACTCAGCTATCTCATCCTCTCGTTAGTCTATGTATGTATAGTGCGGGGGAACACCAACCAACCCGGATCTCTCCCTAGCCCACGGGGTAGGTTGGCACCACAGTAGTGGTGCAAGAGCAAGGCTGTACCAGTCCCTCATCACGGTGATGAGGCGTGGGCAGGCATTGCCAATGGGGGAAATCGACGGTGCTAGTGGCGAGCACTAAGGCCAGTCGCTGCCCCCCCCCCACCCCCCCCCCCCCCCCAGCCCCACATTAGAGGTGTCCAATGGCCAATATTCTCGCTGCATAGCAACCAACAACATCAGCGACGGTCCTGCCAATGCTGGCTTGGGGGCACAAACACATCTAGATGTGTATAAGAGACAGCATTAGAGGTGTCCAATGGCCAATATTCTCGCTGCATAGCAACCAACAACATCAGCGACGGTCCTGCCAATGCTGGCTTGGGGGGACAACGGGTTGATGCAGCTGAGTGGGAGGTTGAGGATGAGAGGGCAGTTGGCGATGGAGAGAGGGAATATGCCACTGATGACGCAGGTGAGTGGGAAGGGGAGTGGGGACTATTGGCAACGGTGGAAACGGCGGCAGCAGCAGCGGTGGCGGCAATGGCAAAAGCAGAAGCAAATACAGCAACAGTAACAACAACAACATCAACAACAACAATAATGGAGGTGGAGCAGGGGTTTATGGCAGAGGCGGTGGTTGTGGTAGAGGAGAGGCAAGGAATGGGCGAGATTGGCGAGAAGGGTGGGATGGTTGACAACAACAATAACAACTTCAACAACGGTGGCGAGCAGCGAATGAGCCAACTGGGTGAGACGGGCATGAAAGAGGATAACAACAACAACAACAACAACAACAACAACAACAACAACGAGATGGAGGAGAGGGGAGACAACGCAGACAGCAACAACAACAACAACAACAACAACAACAACAACAACAACAACAACAACAACAACAACAACAACAACAACAACAACAACAACAGCAAGGCCGGCGAAAACAACGAGATGGTTGAGATGGAAGAGGACAATGACAACAACAACAACAATAACAATAACAACGATGGTGAGCAGGGATTGCGGGAAAAGGGTGAGGAGGGTGAGAAGGATGACACTGACAACAACATCGACGGCGATAACAACAACAACAACAACAACAACAACAACAACAACAACAACAACAACAACAACAACAACAACAACAACAACAACAACAATTTCAACAACAACAAAAACAAAAACAAAAACAACAACAAAAAAAACAACAATTGTTACAGTAATAGCAACAAGAATAACAACAATCACGACGACGGCGGCGGCGACAACCACGGGGGCAACGGGGCAGAGAGTGGTGCTTCTGCATCCAAGCTCCTTATCAGCATCATGGGAAAGATGCCGCCATCAGTGCAGTGGGGGGGAATTCGTAGCTTGTTGCGGCTGGCGAAGTGGGGTTTGAGGTTGAAGGTACGACTTACCGTTCCCCCCCAACCCTACCCGGTGTTTTCTCATGACGAATCCGACGAATCGTGTCTTCTTTTCTGGCACCTGGTGGGGATAGGTAGATGATCTCCCTGCGATGATTAGGGTTGATTGCCTCTCATCTTTCTAACCCTCAACTCTTAATCATGAAAGGATTGTTGATGAGTACGTCTGTTATTGCTGGTGAGCATATGTGCGAAATGACATCTATATACGTCATTGTATAGGGGATATATGGTTCATGAGCAGGAGGTCAATCCTTGCCCTGCGTTGGGAAGTTATCAATGCCTCTGCTCCTTTTGGTGATACAGGTGAGCCAAGTACATATACAGAGTGCCTGCACACATCATAGTATAGAGATGTTGGACTCGATTTCCAGCTCACATAGAGCACATCAACTCTGGGGTTTCGCTTCATATCTGTGTAAGGGTTCAATTTCTGGCTTGATTGATAGAATTGGGCTTGATGCCTCACTTACTATGGTGCTATTAGGGGATAGGGTTTTCCCTTCAGGGGACATGTATTAATCGATGAATGAAGATAGACAGATTGGATGTTATCTTATATGGATTATTGTGTTTCCAATGGTCTAAAGCCTGCCTGAGAGCGTAGAGTTCCATATCATATGTCGATGCTGCAACTTTCTTTGAGGGCAGCCTGACTTACATGAACTCTACGAGCCTAAAACCATTATCGTCATCTTGCTGTAGGACGACACCTATGCCATACTAACTAGCGTTTGTAGTAACAACAAAGGGTAATGACGGATCAACAACTTTGAGGACATGATATTCTATTAAGGCCTTCTTCAATTTCTTGAAGGCTGACGTACAATCCTGGTCCCACTTCCAGATAGTCTCTTTCTTCAGTAACCTACGAAGGGGAGCAACGATCGTGGAGAAGTTCCTTATGAACTTCCTATAGTAGTTAGCCAATAATAAAAACGAACGCAACTATGTAAGTGTCCTCGAAGTTGGTCAGTCTATGATGGATGCAATCTTACTGTCCTCGGGCCGAATATCGTCTCCGTCGAGTACATGGCCTAGGTTAAGGACCTCTATCTTGGCCCATTCACACTTTTTCGGGTTAATCTTGAAGTTAGACTCTCTCAACTTGCTTAGAATTTGTCGTAGATGGTCCTCATGTTCCTCGAGGGTCTTGCTGAACACTAAGATGTTGTCTAAATAAACTATGACGAATCTATCTAACCATGGTCTAAACAAGTCGTTCATATAACGCCAGAATGTTGCTGGTGCATTAGTAAGTTCAAACGACATCACTATAAACTCGTAATGCCCATACCTTGTCCTGAACGTTGTCTTATACTGATCGTTAGGATGCACCTCTATCTGATGGTATCCCGATTTTAGATCTATCTTTGAGAAGTACCTGCATCCCTGCACTCGATCTAACAAGTCATCTATACGTGGTAACGACTCTGCATTCTTGATTGTGATGGCATTCAGTCCCCTATAGTCTATACATATGTGTAGCTCTCCCCCCTTCTTTTGGACAAACAAACCAGGTGCGCCAAACGGTGTCGAACTAGGTTTGATCCACCCTATTTCTAGGAGCTCATCTAACTGTCTGCGAAACTCCTCTAACTCCTTGGGAGGCATCTTGTAGACTGCCCCCTTAGGCGTTCTACTGCCAGGTTCTAAATCTATACGGTGTTGGATTCATCTGGGCACTACTCCTGAAGGTACTTCAGATAAATCCTTGTACTCTTCCAGCGGATTGACAATAGTAGGATGGATTTTCTCTTCTTCCTTGGCTGGTCAGGAATCGGCCTAACATAGGCTACAAACACCTGCTCTTCGAGCTACTCCTTTCGCACGAGTCTGGCGAATGCAGGAACGCTGAGGCAGCACTGGGCAAGGTGGTTATCTACCCCAGACTCATGGTATAGGCGGACTTGCTTGACTTCGCCTGACAGACTTGGGAGCCTGCACTTGTGGTCTCTAAGGTGCAAAGTGACTCCTTCTGCCTCTCCCCAATTTGTGCCTAATACGATGTCAAACGGGAGACTCTCTTCCACGAGGAGGGTCAAGGAATGCAACACCTTCTCTATCTTCCCTTCTTTCTCTAGGCAGAAGTAGGCGTGGACCCCCTTAATATACTCTTCAACATGCATCTTGCTATTGTGTGCGAGGATCCTGACCACAGGTTCCTCTAATTGTTGGACCTTTAGATTTAGTTTCAACTTCTCCAGCGCTTTATGACTGATATAACTCCTAGTCACCCCATTGTCCATCAGGGCTCCTACTCTAGCTCTAAAAATCTATACGCCTGCGAGGATAAGTTGTCATTTTACATCCTTCTTCATCTTGGCCCAGGCTTGCCTCCTCTCTCTTAACTCTTCAGCTAAGCTTGTGAGGGAAATGTCTAGAGAGACCCTAACACAAGCAGTCTCTAGACAGCTTACTAGACGTCGACCTCCAATCTCTGCCATGGAGATATGTGGAGTTGGAGACTCTACTTCGTGCGCACACTGAGATCCACACACTCCTGGGTAGGGGCAGTCGCGACCCCTACCGGCGGCTGTCTTTTGCTGCCCCAGACGCAGCACGGTCCCTATACTTAGGACATAATTTTATAATGTGGCCTGGACCCCTGCAAAACACGCATTGAGACCTAGTGGCTTGGGTCCCCGCAGAACACGCATTGAGACCTAGTGATGCGTTATTGCCATACTTCTTGATCTATGTCCAGATCTAACTAGGGTCGGCCTACGGGCCGGCCTCGGTGCCACCTTCCTTGTTTGGGGGGTGACGGACTGGAACGCGGACGGTTAGACGGAGGACCTCCCCTTCCTCCCGCTTGGCGGTTGCCGTTGTCGCCAACTCCCTGGCCGCCTTGTCCTCGACCACCTTGGGTCCGACCATTCTGGCCAGACCTTTGTCCTCCTTCTTGCGGCCTCCCTCCGGCCGTGACAGGCTGACAGCAGCATAGGTTCTCCCGTGACCGGCGTTACTGTCGTCCTCCTCTAGTTCCCACTCAATGTCAGAGTAGGGCACCTCGTTTGCGCCACCTCCCTCCATTGTTAGTATCAAGCTATCTTTGGCCATGATTTGGCCGGAGATGGTGCGTCCCTTCCACGTTTTTCCTTGTGACAGATCCTTGTGCCAGAACGTGGTAACTGGCGACGCTTGGGCGGCAAATGCAACTGCCTCCTGACTGAGAGTGTCGTAAGTCATGCCCTGCTGGTTCTTCTTCTCGAAGAAATGTCCCGGAATATTATCAGGGAGGGCACAATAGAAGAGGTTAAGTAGTAGGGCATCAGTCACTCCATGCCAGGGACTGCAATCAATTTGTCCATCGCAAAAATTCGTCCATCGCAGACTTGAGGGCGTGAACACTCTTCCATTTGCAAGTGTGTATCATATGCAGCTTGTCGGAGGCCTTAAGCCCCCTCGTCACATCTGAAAATCGCTCCCTGAGTGATTTCAGGAACTCAGAGAGGGGCGTCAGTCTAGAATAGGTAACCATATCGTTCTCGCAGTTTGCAGCGCGGGCGAGCGACCTAGCAAAGCTGGTCGCCGCATCTCGAAGGGCCTGGAAGGCCACCAAAGTGTCGTCTTCAGGCGTGACTCCCTGTAAGTACAAGTAGGAGTGCACGTTGGCCTCCCAGATATCTAAATCCTCCCCCTTCTTTCCATTGAAGGGTTCGGGGAAACGGACCTTAATTTTTTCGCGGCGTGGAGGGGCCGACTCCTCTTCCTTGGCAGTTGCTAACTTCGCGTCTTCAATGGTGCCGGTGCAGAACTCTCTGGTCTTACTAATCGCAATATGGACCTGGCCCAACAAGCATTTCATCATGTCGCTTGCAAAATCTTTAAGCCCAACGCGTATCGCATCTATCTTTATATCTTGACTGTGTATATACTGCATCTGGTCATGTTGTGCGATTAGTAAGGACTCTACACTTTGAGTCAGGGTCTCGAGTTTAGTTGCCATCTCAGTCTCGGCCAAAGTTAAGTTCAAGTTCGTTGTTGCTTCTGAGTTGACGAGTTTGGTTTCGCCATCACTTCTTGTGTATGCATGTAGGAAGTGAGTCTGAAGTCGAGTCTGATTGCATTGGTATCAAAGTTGGTACCCGTTGTCCACACCGGCGAAGCTGCAGCAAGCGAAGAAGAAGGACGAAGCCGCCATAGCCGGAGCTCGGCACGGAGAGAGAGAGAGAGAGAGAGAGAGAGAGAGAGAGAGAGAGAG